TGTGTGGTGTGGTTTCTCTATGTGTAGCACAGGGTGTGTGTGGTGTGGTTTCTCTGTGTAGCACAGGGTGTGTGTGGTGTGGTTTCTCCGTGTAGCACAAGGTGTGTGTGGTGTGGTTTCTCTATGTAGCACAGGGTGTGTGTGGTGTGGTTTCTCCGTGTGGCACGGAGTGTGCGTGGTGTGGTTTCTCCATGCAGCACGAGGTGTGTATGGTTTCTCTGTGCAGCAAGGGGTGTATATGGTGGCTCCATGGGGTGTGTGTGGTTTCTCTGTGCGGCACAGGGTGTGTATGCGGTTTTCTCCGTGTGGCACGTGGTGTGTATGTGGTTTCCTCCGTGTAGCACGGGGTGTGTGCCATTCTCTCTGGTTGTCTGAGCAGCACCAGTATGGAGCATTGCTGAGCCATGTGTGTGAGAGGATCCCCAGGGACTCAGTGTGACACAGTGCAGCCTGGCTGTGGCAGCTAGAGCTGATGCTTCTGGGAGTGTCCTAGTTCCTCCAAATGTAGATTGAGTGGCCCTGGACACGGAGGGATGAAAGGGGCTGCATCTCCATCCACCACTTGCGAAGCAACTTAGAGATTGCCAAGTCTCCTGGGCCACCGTTGCCTGACCCAGGACCTGGCACCATGGGCACAAAGCAAGCATGATGTAAGCACCCTTGGCAGAGATCTGTTTGCAGCCAGGGTACTTTCCCCAGCGCTATGGGCCATGGCCTTGGGCCTGGGCCCGGCCCCTGGACTGGGGTTGTAGTCAGGGACTCCACCGCTGGTGTGTGAGTGGGCAGCATGGAGCCAGGCACCCGTGTCCAGGTGAGGCACAGCCCAGGCTGAGCAGCAGCCTGTTGTCACGAGGGAGCCTGGGTAGATTCTCTCAGTAGCCCCGTGTCCCGCCTGCCACACAGCAGGTGGAGACCAGAGCTTCCATGGTCTTGAACTCAGGCCACTCAGGCCACGTGGCAGCCACGTGCTGTTTCCCTGAGCACGTGGACATGTGGGCCTTGAGAGTCTGCACTAGGGGCGCGCCAGGGCAGTGCGGGCCCACTGTGGGTTGGACAGGGCAGGTGACTGGAGGAGGCAGAGGACCCGGACTCGGTCTCCACTTGCCGCAGACGAGCCAGGTGTCCTGCCAAGAGAAGTAGCTTCAAAGAAAACTAAGGAGATATTTGCTGTGCTGTGAAATTTAAAAGGTTCAGGAGAGGGGCTGGGAAGGTGGCTCAGTGGTAGAGCGCTTGCCTTGCATGCCTGAGGCCCTGGGTTCGATTCCTCAGCACCACATAAGCAAAAAGAAAAAAGCCAGAAGTGGCGCTGTGGCTCAAGTGGTAGAGCGCTAGCCTTGAGCTGAAGAGCTGAGGGACAGCACCCAGGCCCAGAGTTCAGGTCCCACGACCGGACCAAAAAAAAAAAGTGGCAGGAGAGTGAGCAGATCAGAGTACTCCTGTCTATTCCCACGGGCATACGGGCAGCCCAGCTTGTATTCCTTCACCCACTCCCTTCCCAGCCGTCCCCTCCAGCCATGTCACATTCTGTGTGGGGAAGGGCAAGGGTCACATCAGTCTGGGGAAGGGCAGGGGTCCCATCACATGTGGGGAGAGGCAGGGGAGCCATCAACCCACTCATGGGACAGTCAGGAAAGTCGCTGCTTCCATAGTTTGCTGCCTTACATAGCTCTGACACTCAGACTGTGCACAGCTGAGTGCTGTGGGGCACCTCTGTGGGGGTGCGCGTTTGGTGGTGGGAGCGGGGGCAGCAAGGGTGTGGGGTGGTTCCATTTGTTTTGCCCAGAGGGGGAAATGCAGTCCCAGATCTCTAACAAGACTGGGCACAGAAGGGCAGCGCCTCCCTCCGGAGGCCCGCCGTCCTCGGCCAGGCTCTGGGGTCCACACTGGGCTAGCCGGTTCCCGCTGTCCCGAGCAGTGTGCCAGCACCTGTCTGCGGCTCCTCCCTGGCCCTCGGCCTTGGTGGGGCTCTGCAGGGGCTTGGGATGCACGTTTGTCTCTTCAATAAAGAACTTTTTGTTTGTGGTGGAGGACTGGGGGGAGCACAGAGGGATTGAGCTGCGGGCGATCAGGGTTTAGGGTGGTTTGAGTAAAGAGGCACAGCTCGAGTGAGGACGGTCCACACGCCGGGCTCTCTGTCCTACAGTCCCACACTCACCGGCTTCTGGCAGGATGCGGGACGGTCCACATGTGCTCTGTCCCACCCTCGCCGGCTTCTGGCAGGATGGCGGGGAGCTGTTTGAGTTGTTGGGGGCAGGCGGGAAGCCCCCACACTTCCGAGCACATGCCAGTGGTGGTAGGCAGAGGGCCGTGGCCTCTGCAGTCACGCCGCCTTTGGGGGGAGGGGCGGAGGCGCATCCCGTGGTGATGAGCCTCTGTGGGCCTCCTTGGAGGCTTCCTTGTGGGGAGAGAGGGCGAGTTTGGGATGTGGAGGGTTTGGAGGCTTACAGTTTTGTGTTTCCTTGGGGTGGTGCTGGAGAGGGAATCCAGGTGTGTCTTGCACAGGGTAGCCTACAAGGAGCGACTGTGCTACTAGCCCATTGTGTATGCTTGTGAATCTGAGACTGGGGTTTGTGGCTGTGTGGCTGGGCGGGATTCACCCTCTGCCTCCTGGGTTGAGGCTGTCAGGGCAAAAGAGGACAGCTTTGCTCTCACAGCTCCGTTCCCCAGCCATGGCCCCCTTTGGCTGTTCCTCCTGCAACTCCCATCTTCTAGCTGCATTCGGTGTTTCCTGTCGTGGTACCTTGGTCCTGGCCAGTCCTCCTCCCCAACTTTGCCCAGGGCCCCGGGCAAGCTCCTCTTCCTCAGTGCTCTTTCCATCTGGGGCCCGGAGGTGTTTGCTGTCGCCATGGTCATGCATGGTCGTTAGCTCCAGGTCCAAGTCTCCACCTCCAGTTTTCCCCAGTGCGGCCCCTGCCTCTTGTGCCTGGCCGTACCTCCATGGAAACTCGCAGCCCATCTGCTCCCATGGGCGGCTCAGGCCGAGGGTGGGCTTCTGCAGGCAGCGTGGTGTTGCCTGGTGTGAGCACCTGGGCTTGCGGAGACGCCTGCTCGCCAGCAGAGGACCTGCGCCATGCGGGAGCCGACGCAGGGTGGGTGGATCTGACGACTGTGCCCTCCTGACCAGTGTGCCAACACCTTCCTTCCACAGGTGCCAGGCCGCAGGTATGCTCCCGGGTACAATGCCGACGTGGGCGACAAGTGGATCTGGCTGAAGTGACCGGCCTCGCCCAGGTGTGTCTGCTCTGCCTGGCGCCGGCCACGAGCCTCACGGTGCGGGGAGAACCACGCACAGAGCCGGCGGGCGGGAGCCATCCGCCCTGTGTGCAGTGGGCGGGATTAAAAGAACCAACCTCTATTTAAAAGGCTTTGGAACCCTAGAGCTTTATTTTCAGAAATTCCCAGAATTGTCACTGTAAAGGCCGGCTCTCGCTCGAGGCTGTCGCCTTGTCGGAGCGGTTGTGTCACACAGCTCTTGGGTGCAAGAAATAAAGTCATCTCTGTGGAAATTCTGTTTCTGCATGAGGCCACCATGCCCTGTGCATACGCCCTGTCCTGTCACCATGCCCAGGTACCATGCCCTGTGCATGTACCCTGTCAGATCATCATGGCAACACCATGCCTCTCGCACACACCTTGCCCTGTCATCAAGCCCTGTGCACGCACACAGTCATCATGTCAACATCATGCCCTGTGCACACGCCCTGTCATGCCTTCATACCAACGCCACGCCCTGCACACACCGTCATGTCACACAGCCTATGCACACGCCCTGTCATGTTCCTGTCTTGTCACCATGCCCTGTGCACACGCCCTGTCATGTCACCACGCCTGTGCACATGTCCTCTCAGGCCACCATGCCCCGTTGTGTCCCCATGCCCAGACACTGAACACCAGTCTCAATCCTCTTGTTCCCTGGCATTGGGGCTCTGGAAAAGTGCTGAGCTGCAGAGAAGTCCCAGAAACAGCAATGCGGCTGCTGCTCTCGGGACCTCCACCATCACCCTGTGGCGTGTGAGGATTTGCACGAGAGCCCAGGGGCCCCCGGGCATCTGTGAAGGGGGTCTGTGCACACACCTCCCTGTGGGTGATGGCTTCGGCAGGACATGAGACCCACAAAGGCCCTTCTTCAGAGAGAGCTCAGCAGTGAGGGGAAGTAAGCAGCAGTATCCAGAGAAGTGATGGATGGTGGGGAGCGGCCCACAGGGGAAGAAACCCTGAGGTCCTTTCTTGCAGTATGGGAGGACTAGGCGAGGCTGGCCATGGAGGGGCAGAGCTGCCCGTGACCGTTATCAGATCGGCCCTCCAGCCCTTGTGCCCCAGAGGGGCTGTGCCCTAACAGATGGCAGGGGAGCCCCTGTGGCTCTTCTTGGCATGACCTGGTTAGTTCTGTCCTTCAAAACATGGTGGGTAGTGATTGCATCAAGGGCTGAGGCCAAGAAAAAGACCAAGACAATCCTGGAAGGAGACAGCTGTGCAGATGGGAAGGAGGGAAAGAGGACTTTCGGGGGAGGGTGGAAGGAAGGGAGGGCTTTCAGGAGAGGATGGGAGGGAAGGAGGGAGGACTTTGGGGGAGGGAGGGAGGGACAGACACAGCTGGAGTCCAGACAATCACCCGTGGAAAGAGGTCCCCGAGTTTCAGATGTGTCTGGATGGGAGAAGTGTGAGTGCTCCAGCAGAAAGGAGAATCACCCGTAATTCAGTGCGTCTGAGAGACCCGAGAGCCTGGCACAGCCCCTCTGTGCCTGCAGGGCTCCCGGCCTTGTTTCCTGCCCCATTGGCTGGCTGTGACATCTGGGGTGACCTCTGTCTGAATCAGCGTCTTCTGCCCCAGCCCCGGCCTCCAGAGGGTACATGGGCACCGGTGGCCGGAGCTTGCTCCTTCACCAAGCGCCAGCACGGAGTGCCCCCTGCCATGCTGTCTGCCTTCTCCTGTCAAGTGTGACATCCCACCCTGCGGAGCTGACACTAGCAGGACCTGGCTGTCCCCTCCCCAGAGCCCACTGGGCGCAGCAGGTGCAGGACAGTGGCAGGGCAGTGCAGTGAGGGTCCAGCTGGATGACCGTGAGGGGCAGGGGGAGGGTTGTGGAGTGAGGGTCTTGGCACAGGGCAGGGCAGGGATAGCTGTACCCTGGGGCACAGAGGGTCTTCCCTGCGGAGGTGTCCCTGGGCACCCATGTGTTCCTCTGGGGAGGGGGTGCAGGCCCCCTCCCCCCCCCTTACTGGGCCTGCCAGGGGCCATGCTGGGCCTCCTCCATCTGGACAGCCTCTGAGCCTCCAAAGGAGGGGACCAACCAGGTAGGATCAGAGCCACCTGCCAGCTTGGGGAGTTGGTCAGGAGGAAGAAGGCTGGCTCTGGGGGACCCAGTGGCTCCCCGTGCTGGGAGGGCTCTGCTGGACCCCCTCCCCCCATTCATCCGAGGGGCAGACCCACCCATCTGCCTCGCCTCCACCCACCTACTCCCTTAACGCCTCAGGCTGGACTTGCAGCTCTAAAGGCTTCCTGTTTCTGCTTGTTTTCTGCTCTTCTTTGTCTCATCTTTTACCCCTCTTTCACAATTCATGCAGTTTAGCTCCATCATTTCTTTGAAAACATGAAAGGACTCTGCTCTGCCTTCTACATGGTCCCCTTGCCACCTTTTTCCTTGTGTTTGTTTCCTTCTGCGATTTTTATTTAACCCCAGGCCCGAGCCCAAATAGGGCCAGGAGCAGGGTCACTGGAAGCTGCAGAGTCTCAAAAGTTCACGTACAGGACTTACCGGTCCAGTAAGCTACCGTCCAAATCCCTGCTCTGCCTCTCACCTGGGGGTGGAATTCACTGCTGCTACCATGAAGACAAGATGGCATCAAGCCCAGCTCTCCCGCATCCACTGTGTGGCCCAGACGGCGCCGATGACACCCAGTGTCCTTATTCCAGTTTAGTTACATCCTCTGTGAGCAGGAACAGCTTGCTTTCTTTCCCACCTCCATGTCCCTTCATTTCTTCCTTTGACTCAGTGCTGTGGCTAGGGTTTTCAGCATAACTCGGTGTAGGAAAAACATGGAAATGTTGTATTTTGCTTGTTTGGAGTTTTTCTATTTTACTGACTTGGGACTCTTCTTTCCAAATGTAAACCGTTAGTGCTCTGTTTAGTTATTTTTTAGTCAGAGTCTCACCACATATCCCAGACTGGCCTTACTTCATGATTTTCAGGCTTCAGTCTTAAAAGTGCTGGGGTTGCATGCATACGCTACCTGCCTAGCTTTTGTCCTACACAGGTTGGTGTTCTTTTACTTCCCTCTTGTTATAGGTGTTATTTTTTATCACATTAGACTGCTTGCTTGGGTCAGATATTATCTTTAAATGTGGTGTTTAGTTTTTAAGTGTTTTGAAATTTTCCTGTTGTCTTTGTGTTTTTTTTTCTGATTTCATTATTGTCAGAGTACAAATTCTGTATAAATTGTCTTAAACTTTCCCTTTAACCCAGGATCTACTCTGTCTTGGTGAATATCTGAAAGGCATCTGGAAAATGTATGGTCTTCCACCAGGAGAGGTGGGTCTAGACCTATTAGATGTTTCTGGAACTATTAGTGACTTTGGCTGTTGGTGTGCAGTTCCGATGCACCTTTGCTGTCTTGATTTCTGACAGAGGGGTATTGAAGTTCCCAACTTTATTTGTCAGTTTGTGTATTTCTACCTTTAGCTTCTATGACCTTTTATCAGTATGAACATAATGTCTCTTCTTGCTCCCAGTAATTTTCTTTACCTTGAAGTGTAGTTTATCTGTCCTTCATACAGCAGCCTACATGTTTTGTTAGCTACTGTTTGGTTAGTATATTTGCCTCTGGCCTTTTACTTCCAACTTACCTACATCATATTTTAAATGAGTGTCTTATAGACAACATATAATTGGATTGGGTTTCCATTATTTCATCTACCTTGACAATTTCTGTTTCAATGGAAGTGTTTAAATCTGGTTTGATATTGTATCTTTTGTTATTCTGTTTGTTTGACTTTTACTGCCTTCCTATGAATTTCATCAGTGGTTTAAAAATGCCTTTTTGGTTTGCCTGTTCCATCCGTGAGTGCGCCGCTCTGTGCAGTTGTCAGTGGTTCCTCTAGATACTAAGATGTGGTCAGGTGCCTCGGACTGCCCGCTGGTGCAGAAGTCTGAGGGCGTGGCGGCACGCAGACCCTGCTTCCGCTCTGCTCTGCTTACGCTCCACAGGTGGACAGTTGTCCCCAGCATGTGTGTGCACGGAGCCCATTATCAGATGATGTGGTAACTTCTGCGGCAGCCACCAAAACAGGTTTTCATACACTTCTGAGTGTAACAGAACAACTCCCCCTATTTCCTTCTCCCGTGGCGCCTGCTTCCTCTTGAAATTTGTTAGCATTTCCTCTCCGTTTGGGGAATTTCCTTTAGAGGTCCTTTTTTTTAATTTTTTTGGGGGGGTCCGGTCGTGGGGCCTGAACTCTGGGCCTGGGCGCTGTCCCTCAGCTCTTCAGCTCAAGGCTAGCGCTCTACCACTTGAGGCACAGCACCACTTCCGGCTTTTTTTTCTTTTTGCTTATGTGGTGCTGAGGAATCAAACCCAGGGCCTCAGGCATGCAAGGCAAGCACTCTACCACTGAGCCACCTTCCCAGCCCTGGAGGCCCTTTCATTGGCTGCATCTTTATGTGTGCTTCATTCCTTAGGGTTATTTTCGCTGCTCTCAGAATTTGGGATTGGCAGGCATTTTGGAACATCGTGTACCTGCACAATGACATGTGGGAAGCCTGTGAGTTACATCACAGTGTCTCTCTAAGAACGTCTGTCCAGGTGCCATCCCAACGCACAGCAGCTGGACCCATCCTCACAGACGTTTCCAGGCCCTGGCCACAGTCAGGGACAGTCCTGCATGGCACAGCTTGGCTTGCCGCGCCAGGGCTGTGGTTCCAAGCGCCTCCTCCCCCTCCTCCTGTCTCCTCCTCTCCTCCCCTTCCTCCTCCTTGTGTCTCCCCTCCCCTCTTCCCCCCCTTATGTCTCCTCCCCTTCCTCCTCCTTGTGTCTCCCCTCCCCTCTTCCCCCCCTTATGTCTCCTCCCCTTCCTCCTCTCCCTCACCTCCT